GGACCGAGCGTTTTGATTGGTTGAACATTTCTTGGTCCTACGCCTTCCACAGAATATAAATACAGATAAATACATTTAGACCACTTAACTTAATGATTGCTATCGGGATGTGAAGAGACTTTCAACCAGCATAACAAAAAATGTTTCTGAAGACAATCACCTATTGCACCTTTAATTTACATACTTATTTTCATGTGTCAGAAGAAATTAGTTATGTCAGAAAAAAATTTATACATAAAAATAAATAAATGTATATATTTATTTAAATATATAGATGAATAAATATTTTATAGATATTTTCTGACCTTATAAATATGTGATCTCAGTCTGAAGTTATATTCTAATTAACATTCACACTATTTGTGTACATTGATAGACTTAAGATAATGGTGTTTAAATTGCTCTTGGCTCTTTTTTGTACTCTATAGGAAGTTGTTATATTATGTCAAGCAGATTTTGATGTCACTAGGCTAAATTACAGGAGATATGAAATATCTGATTTTCTCCCCCTGAGGATCAGTATAGTGCTGTCTTACCATAGGAGTGTTGTATGACATTTTGCCTGAGTCCATAATATCGAACTGATGATAAATGTTAGTATCGTACTGCAAATACAGAAAGGATTCTGGCTGACATTCTTTATTTGATTTGGATCATGCAAGACTGTGCTCAAACACTTCATCAACTACTTTTTTTTCACTTCAATTTTCCACACAAAATATAACAATATATTTTAATTTAGTTTTATTACATTTTATTTATTTTTACTTCTGTAACTTTTGTATGTATTTCTTTCTTTCTGTTGATTTAGTGGTGAAATCTGACCTACATATACTTTCTTGAGGTTTTCCCACTCACTGACATAGCGATGATGACAAAATAAGACGCATAAAGTCACAGACTTGCACTCAAGTTACTTCAGTTCACATACCTGACTAATTAAATATAACTAATTAAAAAGAACACAGTGACTTGCTTGGGAAATAAGACCTCATTAAAGTGGCTTAACAATAATTTTGTTCACTTTTAATGTTTTGTCTAACTTCTGTTATGAAATCATTCCAAGTCTGCATTTATTCTGTTTAGGCCTTGTGTTGATTTGTAGCGTGAACAGTGCGGTTCACAGCATGGCTTTTAGTTTCTCCAACAAGACGGCTTGTTATTGGTAGAATGCAGGCTCACTGCTCTTTGAGCTGTCAAAAGTAAGTAGACTTTCCTCGATGGATTGGAGTTGGTAAAAATCAATCTGGCCATGGGCGATCACATTGCACACATTGCTCCTGAGCCCTGGCACAAGGCCGACTGACTGACGTCTCCCAGCTGTGCTGAACCGTATGAAAACAGGATAGTCCCCCAGCCATTGCCCACTTGTCTACCTGTCTTCTGAAACACTCACTATATATTATGAGTATGAAACGGGATTTTTGTTCCCATAGGGTATAGCTATGATTCTGATGACTTGCTAGCATGATTATGTATGGAGAACCTGGTCTTGCATATGTTGAAGGCCTTTGGTTACAGTGCACATTAGTGGTGTTCAGATAAAACTATCTTGTAATGTCTAGTAAAGAGATATTTTAAGTTATTTTAGGTGAGCATTTTTTGTTAGAAACAAATATAAATAAAACAATACAAAATGAATAGTAAAATAAAAACAGTAAAAGTACATTTTAGTATTATTTTGTTTGTGTATCTATATGATGATCTATATGTATGTATATTATAATGTAACTTTCATTTTTTTAATTAGAAATTTTAATAGAAACAAAGCCATAAAAACTGCATATATCAGGAAGTGTTTTCAAATCAAAATAGTAATGGGATACTTCATAAGTCTTCATAATGTCTTTTTATAATTTTTCAGCAATGAAGCAGCTAGACTCTGTACTGCAAAGCAAATTTATATAAATATATTTATAACCTAAAAAATATTGGGACACATTTTTGATGGAGGCCTGTGCCCCAGTACTGATGAAAGGCTGGAAAAGCCCCTGGTTTACAGAAGTTTCAGATGCAGTGTGAAGCAGCATGTAACACTGCATGACTCTGCTGTCATTGCTTGACATGTCATATCAACTACCCAGATACATTGTTTGGCACATCACTTAGGTAACTGAGCAAATGTGACAGTCTGGAAAGTATTCCCCTTCCCGAGTTGTTAAGCAGATGGCAGTTCTGGATAACCCAGTGCATTAACACAGGTCTCCTGACAAATGCTGCTATTTCAGGTAGCGCTGATGAGAACATCCGCATACAGGATTCTGGTACAGTATGTCCCACATAGCTTTTGGCACAGACTGTATGAGGAAAAAGTGCAGCATGCTGTTAGGATTGGCATATGAACATATAGAAGCTGACATGATGGCATAGATACAGTCATGTTGCTCATTTAGTTACCCCAATTCCTATTACCGTAATGCAAAAAATATTCTTTAAAAAAAAAAATGTTTGCATTCTAAAATGTTTATATTTTATATTGTCCTGGTCATTTTTTCATTTCATTTTTTTTTATTAATTTTGTCAGCAAACTTGGAAGTTGATAACCTTGGTGTAGACTACACTGACTAAAGTATGTTTTTGGGGTCTTTGTTAGATAAGTAGTCATTTCTTTCTTTTAACGTACAATGGAGGTCAAAAGGTTCAAAAATGGTCCCTGTTATCTCTAAATGGACCCACGGCCTGTTGTTGGCTCACATATTTTCCTGCACTTTAAAGAATAGCATGCAATCTCTGATATACGCTCATCCCGGACCGACCATTAGCTATCTTGGTAACCCACCTGCGAGCGCTGAAATTGTTGAAGCTAACTGTAGAGACAGACAGCAGAGGGCTGATTAGCTTGGATTCCACATTCAGGTCTTGTTTGTGCAGTATCAGATGGCTCACAGGTGCTCACATCTATCTCTCTGTTTGAAGTGGATCAAAGGGCTTTGATCAGACACATGGTCTCACACATGCTTCAGCACACTGACTCCATGCAGATGTTTACCATACACATGACCTCACTGGGCCAGGAATGCTCTTTGTAATTACAGAGGGTCACTCGATACTGGCAACGAAGGAAAGCAGAGCACAGAAAAATTATATATTGTTCTTGGAATCTCTTTGAATGTCTTTGAGGTAATGGTGTACTGTAGATCAGTGAATCTCAACCTTTTGGCGTACCGGACCCCAGTCCAATTCAGAACCATCCTCAAGGACCCCCAGAACAAAATGAACTTGTATCATTTGTGTCTTTGTGAGGACCAAATGCAGTCAAGTATAATTCAATTTAGCTGACTTGTCCAGTATTTGGCCATATCATCAGCTATATTGGATTTTTCTTTCATGGGAACACGTCATGTCAACATATACAAAATTTATACAAAAATTCATACTTTATACGGACCCCCTGGCCTTATGTCAAGGACCACTAGGGGTCCACGGACCCCTGGTTGAGAAACACTGCTGTAGATTATGTAATGGATACTTAATCAGTGAGTCATTAGTGCAAAATATGACATGTCAGGGTACAAAAATGCTGATACTTCAGCAGTCATTATGGAAAAGTATTTCAGAACAAAGGTGTTTTTGGTGCTAGATAATCCTATTTATCTTAAACCAGACATCTTTTACTTCAATTTTTCTTTTTCTGGATGTATTTTTAGCCTGTCATTTAAAAAAATCTACATTTTGGTTAATCTACTTTTTACTTTTTTTATTAAATTAAATTAATTAATTAATTTGATTTATTTGTTTATTTTATTTTTTTTCTGAATATTTTCATAGCCTGTCATTAAAACATCTAGCATTGGTTGTCTACATTTTTGGTTACATTTTTAAATTTAAAATGTTACAATTATTTACTTTTTAAAATATATTATTTTTGATTAATTTGTTAATTTGTAATAATTTGTAAAATTGATATGTTTTTTATTTATTTTATTTTTTGACACAATATTTGAGAGATTTTAAAACCAACTTTGAGAAATCATGCTACACTACAAACATGAAAACACCAATTTAGCAAAAATTTCAAGACAGTTATTGTTGGACATACAGGAATAACTTTAGTGTTTCCATTATTATGTATAATCTGTAGTTTAATTATTTATTTAACTGAGAAGTGAATATTTGTCTGAAAAAATAAGTTCTTCTCTGCCTTGCATAACCAGTTCTATCAAATATATTTGTACATTTTTAGCTAATGTTCTCATTTCTTAACTTTTCTCTTCATCTTCGTCAAACTATTAATACTTTCATAACGGTTCATGTTTACATTCGAGGGCTTTTTCTTGCTATTTCATTTCTTTAATAAAGACAGGCTACTGATGTTATCTGGGGGCTCGTCCGGGATATGACTACTATAATGTTGAAATATTTGTGCTTTTAAAGCATTTAGTTATTGTGTATCTTGTTAAAGTGGTTACTGTGGTTCAAATATCCCATATTATGAGAAATACATTAAACATGTTGGGTCACTTGAGGGCTGAGAGAGGAAGTCTGAATGTATATTATGGTATGGAGCTGCAGAGCCTCCACAGTGCACTGCAAATTTTATTAGCCCCATTTCTAATGACAAGGGGGCAATCACATGAGGAAACCGGAGGTAATGTTGGCAAAAAAATTCTTGTTAAATGAAGTGGAGTGCCTACATCGCTGTAAGTGCTGTACACACATTGGCTTTAGAGAGTCATTAGGTTAGTTTCTGGGACCATTCCTCATTCTGGCTGTAATGAAACGCAGCATAAGGGTATTACCTGCTCCACCTGAGGAGCCTGGATTACTGTAGTATTGCTGATACGGCACAATGAAACTAGCCCAGGGCAAATATGAATGCTTTATTTATAGAAGATATATTGCTGGCCATTTTTATCATTTTTGTCTGCCTTCGTTGAGCTGCTTGCAAGAGGTTTCCAGAGCACCATTGAAGTGTGCAATGAAATGATTTGTCTTCAGTCCATTCGTGATTTCTATTGAGAGACTCTTACAACAAACCATGTTTGATTGTTTTTGTTCAGAGATTCGAGCCCAACTGGTGGAACAGCAGAAATGTCTGGAGCAGCAGACGGACATGAGGGTCCAGCTCCTTCAGGACCTCCAGGACTTCTTCCGCAAGAAGTCAGAGATCGAGATGGAGTACTCCCGCAACCTGGAGAAGCTCGCCGAACGCTTCATGGCAAAGACCAGGAGTACCAAGGACCATCAGCAATATAAGTGAGTGTGTTATATGAATGATTAATACTTGCAACTCTTTTGTGGGTTGAATCTAGAACTTTTTGTACTCTGGCCCAGATCTTTAATCACTTACCCACACCATCATTATTATTGTCTAAAGGTTTATGATTGTAAGATTGAACACTTTGACTTCTCCTAAATTGCTATGTGTGTCACATGAACGATTTTCAAATGATGCTGTCTTTTATTCAACATATGAAATCATGTTGAAAGGGAAATATGAAGTTATCCTTTTTTATTTTACATTATTAAATGAGAGAATTTATATTTTATGCTACACTTTTCATATCCAATCTTAATTTTTTTAATAAGTGTTGGAATTGAAAATTAAGTTTGGAATTTTTTTTTGTATTTGTGGGTACATTTGTATGAAGATTTCATATCAGCTTTTTTTGTAAAATATATATGTCTCACAATGACATTTTAATGAGTAATTTTTTCTAAACCATTACTTGTCACATATGTTTTTCTGCTGATTTATTCCCAGTGTAGTGCACTGAGACAGGCACGAACCGTGATCATGGTCTCATTATGCCAGTAGAGTCACTGGCTGGAAAAGACTACATCTACATATAGATCTACATCTATATAATGTTGGTACAGAAACCGCTGGTACAACTCAAAATATTGAGTGTGTTTGCTTTTCACTTCTGTAAATAGTCTCTAAATGAGTCCAGCAGCTGTGAGCACAACTGGAGGCAATGGAGAATCTTGGTCGTGGAGCTTGTGGTTTATGTGGCCTGTCTGTTTGTGAGCAGAATAAGATACTTGACACAATTCACTAACATATTCTGAAAGACAAGGACTTAAACTTGCCAGTTCACAGATGCAGAAGTAAAGAAGGGTCCAGATTACAGTGTGATGTGATGCAAATTGCTCGTTTTTGTCTTTTGGAGATAAAAAAGCCAGTTCTAACGCCAGCTTAGCTCAGCTGTGTGCCGGATGAATTAGCATCAGAACGAGCTTGCAGAAATTTCTGTAATTAACAGAAAGGCTCATTTCTAAAGCATTTCAAGTCATTTTACCAGGTCTCTTAGCTAAACTTGGACTCTTCTGTAACCACAGGGCTTCAGTAAAGAGGTCCAGACCGTGGTCTGCGATTGTATCCCATTTTATTCTGTAGTCCAGAGGTCTGGCCCGATGTCTGACCGATGGCGTCGTGATGAGGCCAGCTGAGCCAAAGCAGAGGGTGTGCTTTACCCCTTCACTGAAGTTGGCTGGATACTTGTGGTCAGCAGAATTCTGCAAAACCAGTGAGAGGAAAGATTAAGCAACTATTTGTCAAGAAACACAGTTTACTCTACCTGTGGGATTGTAGTTACAGAATCAGTCTTCTCACTGGCGCTGGGAGCATCTCAGGTGACTCAAAGTGCAAAGTGTGATGGATCAGGCCTGAAGGTTGGAGACCAGAGAGATGCGGTCACTTTACAAATGCATAGCTAGTGTATGTTTGAACTTGGTTAGCTCCTAACCGAAAGTTTCCATTTTAGAGTCTGTTTTTTGGTATAAAGTGAAGATTTGATTTGTGACTTCTGTAGAGGATTTTACGTAGCAGAATGTGATAAACCAGAAATGACCACAGGATCTAATTTTGCTATAAATAAAGTGCCAGGATGACAAATCAGACATTTTAGAGAGTAATGATAACCATGACAGTAAGGACTTTTATATTGTTACAAACTTTCTTTTTCAAATAAATGCTGTTATTTTGAACTCTCTATTCATCAAAGAATCCTGAAAATTGGTTTCCACAAAAATATTAAATAGCACAGCTGTTTTCAACATTGATAATAATAAGAAATGCTTCTTGAGCACCAAATCAGAATGATTTCTGAAGGATCATGTGACACTGAAGACTGGAGAAATGATGCTGAAAATTAAGCTTTGCCATCAAAGGAATAAATTACATAAAAAATGTATTGAAATATAAGTTATTTTACATTGTAAAAATGTTTCACAGTATTACAGTTTTTACTGAAAGAGACTTTTTTCAAAAACAATAAATAAAATCTTGCCTACACAAAACCTTTGAACATTAGTGTATGTTTTAATAAATAAATATTTTAATGAATTTTTAGTAAATATTGTAAAATTTACACTGTAAGAAAAATATCTGTAGGAAAACTGAACGGGTACTGGTAGTTTTCTGCCAGAACAATATATGTTAATTATACAGACATTTCCTTCAAGCCTAAAATATAACACAATGCAACGTGTAATTCAAAATACTCAAAAATTAATTCATAATACCATAGTACATTGTGCCCTATTATTACAGACTTTTCTTACAGTGCATGCCAATTGTCATATTATATCGGCCCTATAGATTTCATATTGACTTCATATTATATTACTAGTTCTTTAGTAGGTTCTATCCACATATGTGCATCCTTACAAGACAGTGTTTTGTGAGCTGTGTGGTTAAACTTCTCCCAGATGACACTGTCGTCGTGGCGACACATCGACTGGTGCTTAGTTTAGTGCACATGTTTGTTGAGCTAACAGGCATCACACACTGTTTGCCCAGGGAGGCTGCTGGACTCAGGATGGGAATTATTTCATTATATGCATCATCCAGCTGCCACTCCTTGGACAGCAGATTGCCTTTTATTATCTATCATTTAGCAGATGCATTTTAGCCAAATAGACCTTCCACAAGGACACATCTCCTCTAGGAAACTGAGCTTAAGTGCCTTTTATATATTATATTATAAATCTTCTTTAGGAAACTGAATTCAGGTGCCTTTTTTAGGGTACAAGTTATAAGTTTAACCTTTGGTTTAGGGTATAAGTTTGAACCTTTGTCATTTTGGTTGCATGCCTAAGATTAAATGCAATGCACTTAGGCTTTAGGATTTATGCTTTGCCCCAGTAAGGTTGGTTTCAGTTGTCTGCATGATTGTACCTTCATGCGCATTCATTTGATGACCTTGTTGTAGGATGCCAAACTCTCCAGTGAAGCGCTCTAGTTTGCTCTGGCACTTCAAAATCGATGAGCTGTCAATATAATCTTTGCGATCTGCGGGATGTTTACGCCAGCACCGAATGAAGTTCCTCTGGCTACAGTGTTGATGTAGTTACTGCATCGCTTGTAGTTGTGGTGTGTTTATACCACTGCTGGTTATTTTGATATTAGCACATTAGAGGCACGTTCATTTTGTTTAGAAAACCAAGTGTAATTAATTTGGGTAATTGCCACCAGTGTAGTTGCTGTATATAGACTTGCTTACACCTGGGATGTGGAAGATGAATAAAAGATGCTGTCTTTGAAGATGGAGTTTTGTAATGGCTTTCCTATATCTTTTTAGTGTGTGTTCCACAGAAGAAATTGAGTCATGATGAGGGTTTGGAATGAAATGAGAGAGAGAAAAAAAAAACAAGTCAAGGTGAACTATTGCTTTAAAGGGGTCCTATTATGCTTTTTCACTTTTTAAATTTTAGTCAGTGTGTAGTGTGTATGTTTGGGCATAAAAAAGATCTAGAAAATTACAAATCTCAAAGTCCACTCCAAAGGGAGATATTTTGTTTTTAAAAAATCCCTTTTCAAGAACTACAACGAACGGCTCGTTTGGACTACAGCGTTGGTTTCCGGGCTTTGTGATATCACAAAGCGGCTCATTTAGAATATCATTAAAAATAATTCCCGCCTACAGAAATTAGAATGGTTGGGGGGTGGGGAGGGGCGAGGTTGTGGTTAGAACGCTTGGTTGAGTGAGTGCATCAGACGAGACGATGAAG